AGAGTGAGATGCCATCTCATACCTCATCTACTCCGTCTCCTCTAGAGGATATTAGGAGGAACCCAGCACCTCCAGTTCCTCCGTCTGGCACTACAGACCAGGATATGCGGAGTGCTTTGCAGTTATTGACTAGCTTGGTAGCTGCTCAGGCTCAGAGGCAGAATACAGGTGCTGCTGATAAACCAGTTAGTACGAGAGTTCGTGATTTTATTAANACAGAGTTAGCCGATGCTTACTTATTCCCCAGATACCGTCATTGCTCTCTCCGGGAAAGAGTTCACGACCCGTGGGCCTTCTACCTCCACGCGGCATTGCTCCGTCAGGCTTTCGCCCATTGCGGAAAATTCCCCACTGCTGCCTCCCGTAGGAGTCTGGGCCGTGTCTCAGTCCCAGTGTGGCTGATCATCCTCTCGGACCAGCTACTGATCATCGCCATGTTTGAAATTTTAGGAATTACTGCTTAGGGCAAAAATCACGTGCTCACATTTATGCAAAAGGATCTAAACTTGAGGTAACATAGGTGGTTGTAGGTAATAAAGGACTATGATATCACCATTCTTTATCATCCCGGGAAGGCTAATGTGGTGGCCGATGCTTTGAGTAAGAAGGCTGAGAGCATGGGGAGTCTTGCTTATATTCTAGTTGGAGAGACTGTCAGCTCTGGATGTTCAGGTGTTGGCCAACATGTTTGTGAGGTTGGATCTTTTGGAGCCTAGTCGAGTTCTTTCTTGCGTGGTTTCGCCGTCTTTTTTATTTGAGAGCATCAAGGTGCATCAGTATGATGATCCACATTTGTTAGTTCTTAAGGACACGGTGCAACACGGTGATGCCAAGGAGGTTACCATTAGAGATGATGGGGTGTTGAGGATGCATGGTCGGATTTATGTGCCCAATATGGATGGGTTGCGATAGTTGATACTTGAGGAGGCCTATAGTTCATAGTATTCCATTCATCCGGGTGCCACGAAGATGTACCAAGACTTTAGCAAGAACTACTGGTGGAGAAAAATCAAAAATGATATTTGGAGTATGTGGCTCAGTGTTTGAACTGTCAGGAGGTAAAGTACGAGCATCAGAGACCGGGTGATTTGCTTTAGAGACTTGATATTTCGGAGTGGATGTGGGAGCATATCACTGTGGATTTTGTATTTGCTGCAGTATGGGTCATTATGGACAGACTGACCAAATCTGCAAACTTTATACCAGTCATGACTACCTACTCTTAGAGTAGTTGTCTCGGATTTGTATTCAGAGATTGTTCGCCCTCATGTTGTGCTTGTGTCTATTATCTCGGACTGAGGCACGCAGTTCACATCGCATTTTTTGAGAGCCGTGCATCGAGAGTTGGGTACATAGGTCAAACTGAGTACGACATTTCATACCCAGATGAACGGACGGTTCAAGCGCACTATTCAGATCTTGGAGGACATGTTACGTGCATGTGTGATTTATTTTGAGGGTTCATGGGATCAGTTCCTACCGCTCACAGAGTTCTCCTACAAAATAGTTACCAGTTAAGTATCCAGATGGCTCCTTATGAGGCCTTATATGGGAGGAAGTGTCGTTCTCTGGTTGGTTGGTTTGAGCCTACAGAGGCTAGGTTGTTGGGCACTAATTTGGTTCGGGTGCCTTGGAGAAGGTGAAGTTGATTCACGATCGATTTCGTACAGCACAGTCCAGCAGAAGAGTTATTATGGTAAGGGACATGACGTGGCATTCATGGTAAGGGAGAGGGTTCTGCTTAGGTTTTCACCCATGAAGGGTGTGATGAGGTTCGGGAAGGGTGGGTGAGGCGGCCTACAGACTAGCATTGCCACCTAACTTATCAGGAGTTCACCCGATGTTCCATATTTTCATGCTCCGTAAATATTATGGTAATCCGTCACATATGTTAGATTCCACCTCAGTCCAATTGGACAAGGATTTGACTTATGTTGAGGAGCCGATGGCTATCTTGGACAGACATTTCCAGAAATTGGGGTCAAAGAACATTGCTTCAGTAAAGGTTCAATGGAGGGGTCAACTGATCGAGGAGGCGACCTGGGAGACCGAACAAGACATGCAGAGTCGTTATCCTCACCTTTTTGGCACTTCAGGAATGTCTATATACTTGTTCGAGGATGAATGTTTGTTTTAAGAGGGAACAATGTAACAAGACGACCAGTCATTTTGTGTATTTGAGCCCCATTTTCCCTTTTGAAGTTCCCATATATGTATTTGTGGGTTAATGACTTGCAGGGATGGATAGTTTCGTTTCGGGGAGGTTTTGGAATGATTTGGATTCTTTGGTTCTTAGTTTAGAAGCTTAAGTTGGAAAATAATGAACGAGTTTTGACTTTCGTAAAAATGATCCTGCAATGGACGTAGGAGTATGCCATGAATTAAATTTGGAGGTTCCTAGGTTGATTTGGCTTGTTTTGCTTAAAGTTGGCAATTTAAAGGTTTAAAAATCCCTTAAGTTTGACCGTAGGTTGATTTTATAGCTACCGAGTTTGAATTGTAGTTTCGGACTTGGGGTAGGTCCGTTTTGTCATTTGAAACTTGTCTGCAAAATTTGGTGTCATTCTGAGTTGGATTGATAGGAATCAGACGCATGGTGCTGGTGTCATTCTGAGTTGGATTGAGAGGTACACTGGATTTCGATCAAACGAGCGAGTTTGTATGATATTTTTAGACTTGTGTGAATACTTGGTATAGAGCTCCGAGGCTCGGGTAAGTTTTGGACGTGTTTCAGATTGATTTGGGTTGGTTTCTCAGCAATTAGTGTGCTGGTGCTGCAATTATCGCAAATGTGAGCACCAGTTCGCATTTGCGAAAATTACATGGCATTTGCGAAAGGGGCAGCGGGTGGAAGGCTTCGCATTTGCGAAACCAGCCTCGCAAATGCGAAGAAGGACTGGTCTGGGTGTTGTTCGCTTTTGCGACCAAAGGGCCGCTTTGCGAAGGGGACTAACTTCGCAAATGCGAAGTCAGAGTCGCATTTGCGACATTTTCTAAGTCTGTCAGGCATCGCATTTGCGATGCGTTTGTCGCATTTGTGGGATTCGTATTTGCGAACCCGAGGTCGCATTTGCGTGACTTGCAGCTAAAATAATAGTGGAATTTCGGGACTTAGCTTCATTTATCACATATTAGAACCTAGACTCGGTGGGAGGCGATTTTGAGGAGAGATTTCATACCAAACTATTGGGCAAGTAATTTTGATCTATTTTAATTATATTACGTGATTGTTTATAAGATTTAACATCTAATCCATGGCATTTGAAGAGAATTTTTAGAGAAATTTCACTATATTTTGAAAAATAAAAGTTTAAGATTTGAGAGTTGAATTGGACTCGGATTTGAAAACAAAACACATAGATGGACTCGTGGGGTGATGGGTAATCAAGTTCTATCCTTGGACTCGAGTTTTGACCGGATGGGCCTAGGGTAAACCTTTGTTGACTTGAGGAATTCTGTAAATATCTTAACTTTAATTATCGTAATTGGTTTTTCTTGCATTGTTTGACGATATTAAGCCGTTTTTGTTAGATTTGAGATGTGCGGAGCCGAATTTAAAGTAAAAGCTATTTTTGAGCGTTGATTTGGCCTAATTGAGGTAAGTATCTTGCCTAACTTTGTGTGGGAGCACTTCCCCGTAGGATTTAGTCTAATTGCATTATTTGAATTATGTGGGAGACGTGTAAATGAGGTTACGAGTCTGTGCACGGGCTTATATGTGGCAATTGACCGTTTTAGACTCTTAGGTTACTTATATGCATTCAATTGAAGTTGTTATTACATGGAATATCTTTTATTGTTGAGTTTGTTCTTTTCGTTTCATTATGTTGTTGTTGAAATTTTTGTACATATTGTGGTTGAGTTGTGGGCTATCTATTATTATGTTATTGGTATTGTTATTTTGGCAATGTTGTAGCTTATGGGCAAGTGTGGTGCAGATTGATTATTGTATTGGTGATGAGATGCGCATGAGACGGCATAAGTGTGGTGGTATTCATGCGCATGCGGCGAGATAAGGGGGCTTTTATGCGCGTATTGCTAGTAAGGGGAATTACCTCATTTTGAAGCACACGTGATAAGATAAGGGGCTAAAGCTCGAGAAGCTATTTCGGGAAAAATATTTTTAAAATAAATGTAAGGCTCAGGCGGCGTCATAAGGAAGATTTGTGATTTGTGAATTGTGATGATGTGGCGTGGTACCTCGAGGTGATTCTTTTTGAAAATTTGTGTTGGAACGGCATGATCATTTGAACTGTTATTGTTTGTCTTAATTTATTTCACTTGTAGTTTAACTGTATTTTAATTATTTTGCTGTTTTATCTCATGTTTATTCTTTGTTGCCATTTATTGCTTTTTACTTTCCGTTGTCAGCTTTATATAATATTCAACATAGGTTTTCATGTCTAGTGAGTGTCTTGACTTGTACCTCGTCACTGCTCCATCGAAGTTAGTCTTGATACTTACTGGGTAACGATTGAGGTGTAGTACTCATACTACGCTTCTGCATTTTTATGCAGATCCAAGTACCTCGAAGCGTGCCGGACGTTAGCTAGCTGAGTTGAGCGACTGAGGAGACTTCCAAGGTATACCCGTCATCCCACTTGCAGTCCTTAGAGTCACCTTCTGTGTCTTTCATTAATACTGTTTATTCTCGTTCCGAAATAGTGTTGTATTGAAATTTCTAGTTTACTCTCATTAGAGTTTATGACTCCGTACTACCGATTTTGGGGATTCATGATCATTGTTCGGTTTCGGTTTTATTATGATATTTGACAGTTTACTTTACGAGCTAAGTTGTTTATTTCTGTTTAATCTCAGTATGCGTTAGGTTTACCTAGTATTAGAGACTAGGTGTCATCACGATCCTAAATGTGAAAGTTTGGGGTCGTGACAAATATGGTGCACTACAATGCCACTGCTCTTCGACAGCATGCACTAAAATTAAGAATCGGTAATGTTTTTTTATAGTTCAGAGGGATTTTTTTTTTCCAACCAAGGCAGAGTGAAAAAGCTGCAATTTCGTCCTTAAACATTTACAAATGTTATCTTCTTATGTGATCGTCTTTGACACAATATTTCACAGACTAGCCCCAAAAATCACGCTAACATATTAGCACAAGTGTGAAACTATAATGGCGCTATCATTCTCAGACTAATTGGACGTCGTATTTATATTTCTGCATGTAATATACAGATACTTGAAAACAATTCGTGTTACAATTCAAGGGCAAAGTTTCACAACAAGAATGTCACTAAAAGATCTGGATTAGAAGCATTTTCTGTGGACGATAGAGGGACCAGACTCATCGTACTCAGCCTTTGCAATCCACATCTGCATTTCAAAGTGTAACGCATAATTAGTCTTTCCCACTTTTTTATAGTAGCATATATCTATAACCATAATCAAAAGTAGTAAAATAAACATAAACAAAGAGATAGAGAGTAACTAAACTCAGACATAATGTGATGTAACTAAAATTTATGTACTAATGACAATAAACATAAGTGCTTTAAGTCGAGTTTCAAGATTTTACTAACCTGTTGGAAGGTACTTAGAGAAGCCAAAATTGAGCCTCCAATCCAAACACTATACTTCCTTTCTGGTGGAGCTACAACCTTAATTTTCATGCTGCTTGGAGCCAATGCAGTTATTTCTTTACTCATTCTATCAGCAATTCCATTAAACATAGTCGAACCACCACTAAGTACAATGTTTCCATAAAGATCCTTCCTGATATCCACATCGCACTTCATGATCGAATTGTACGTCGTTTCATGAATACCAGCAGCTTCCATTCCAATCATCGAAGGCTGGAAAAGTACTTCTGGGCATCGGAAACGCTCAGAACCAATTGTAATAACTTGTCCATCAGGCAACTCATAGCTCTTCTCAACAGAAGAGCTAGTCTTTGATGTGTCTAGTTCTTGCTCGAAATCAAGAGCAATGTATGAGAGTTTTTCCTTAACGTCCCTCACAATTTCCCGTTCAGCTGAGGTGGTAAACGAGTAACCGCGCTCAGTCAAGATTTTCATTAGGTGATCAGTAAGGTCACGACCAGCCAAATCAAGACGTAAAATAGCATGTGGTAGCGCATATCCCTCGTAGATTGGGACAGTGTGACTTACACCATCACCAGAGTCCAGGACAATACCTACATAACAAATTTCCTAAATGATCAGCAAACGTTCAGTTTATTACAGTAAAGTCACAAAACTAATTTCTGTGGAAACACACAACTCACCTGTTGTACGACCACTGGCGTATAAGGATAGAACGGCTTGTATGGCAACATACATAGCAGGAGTATTAAATGTCTCAAACATGATTTGTGTCATCTTTTCACGATTAGCCTTAGGGTTAAGAGGTGCTTCAGTGAGTAGAACAGGGTGCTCCTCTGGAGCTACACGAAGTTCGTTGTAAAAAGTATGATGCCAAATTTTCTCCATGTCATCCCAATTGCTAACAATACCATGCTCAATTGGGTATTTTAATGTGAGAATACCACGTTTGGATTGAGCTTCATCTCCTACATATGCATCTTTCTGTCCCATTCCTACCATTACTCCGGTGTGACGAGGCCGACCGACAATGCTAGGAAACACTGCTCTTGGAGCATCATCTCCAGCAAATCCAGCCTATTAAATGATATTAAAACAAGTCAAATTAAAAGGAGGAATTTTATGATTTGGGATAGAGTTGATTTTTAATGAATGTTATTTGGTGCTACCTTAACCATTCCAGTCCCATTATCACAGACAAGTGGCTGGATATCCTCACCATCTGCCATTTTTTCCCTAAAACAGCTATGAACAAAAATGAAAGCCTCATATTAGAAAGATGCAAGTAACAAATAAAGAACTGAGGAAAAAGAAAATCACAACATATTAGCCTAAATAAGAGTACTGTCAAATCTTATAATGAGTGAGGGTGAGGTTGACATTCGCCTTTTCATGATTAATCAGACCTCTATATTTCCAAACTTATGGCATAATATTATTGACACTCGAACAATAACGGAGCAAAATTCAAACGTAGAAAACATATATAGCACCTCGCAAAAACAACTATGGAAAGAGAAACATTACGTTTGGGGGGGCTTAGGTGGAGGTCCTGGGACAGTAGGCTGGAATTAGTTCCAATATTATACAACAAGAAAAGGAAAAACTGAGGGAAAATGAGGAGCCAAAGCTGAAACTTTTAAAGCAGAAATTGGTTATAAGTGCAAAGTTTTTGGTGGTAACCGCATTTCTTGCTTTCGAGAATCATGCATATCCTCTCATATGTTCCTTACCTTTGCAAGTCTCCACTAATCAGGCCTCACACATTCATAACCGCTTACTTCTAATAACTGCTTTGGTTGAGGTTCACTTGGGTTATGCTGACTAAAAAGTCTGAGATTTGAGCTCGTCAAACAAGAATTAACTTGTGTTTATTAGCGGGGGCGGCCCGACGAGTTCTGTGGCCTAAAACCAAACTTTATGAGGGGACCTTAATTTAAAAAAAAAAGTTATTTATTTATTTGAAGTCTATTTTTCTAGCATTTTTTAGATACAAAATTATCAATAATTTTCTTATAATTAATAACTCTAATAAGTCTTATACTTAATCCATTTAACCTTTCTTGAGGCACTGTTGATCTTAGGTAGGATTTTATCTATTTTAATTTTGAAAATTTCTTTCCGATGAAGCGATGGTAACAAGACTTATTAACATTATTCCATAAGTAATATAGACATTAGAAAAAGAATCAAATAGTTTTATTTGACCGAATGTATCAATTAAACTGTTATCTTCTAATTATACTATTTTTCTTAATATTTTTAATTCCGTAAATAAATCTATTAAACCATCAATATCTAATTGATTATTATGCTTTAAGGAACATTCAAGATTAAGCCAATATTTTTTAAAAATTTTTATCATCTAGTGATCTTAATTTTTACTGTTAAATAGAAACAATAATATTTTCATATACTTCGAATTGCTCAAATCTATTTTGAAGTGAAACAATAACCTTGTCTACTATGTATAAAGTAATCAACTCCAAAGGACTCTTGGAAAGACTTTGAGAATTTATTATCAACATTCTCATCAAATTGTTACTTCCAATATATCATGAAATTCGGGTTCGATATTTCTTTCAAGTGCAATTTTCGTGGCAGAAATCATAGCAGTTGCAAATCCTTCTTCTCTATACTTGTTAAAGAAAGAAATTAAACCTTTTCACTTCACGGAACCTTTTTTTAAAGGGATTTTTTGTTCCTATACAATATTTGAAACTTATTTACCAAAATTATTCTGATTTTGTATATTACCCGCCCTAAACAAGGATTACTTACAAATTATATACATTCCACCTTAAAAGGCTCCCAAGCTATTATTAGTGCCTTCAATCAAGGATTTAGTTACACATTTTTCCTTTTTTCTCTCCTCTCTCCTCTCTCCCCTCTTCTCTCCAGAATATTGGGACCAAAGATACTCCCAACAGTCAACATTTTCCACAAAACAAATCAAGTAATTGCATATTTTGGGACGAATTTTAACAGAAAGGATTAAAAACGAAATAGGATGCAGGGAGTATAAAAGTTTTCATTGTGACTTATCCCAAAGCAAAAAGCTCACTGTTGACAGCACATATTATCTTACATTACCATCGAAATAAATTTTGCTTATTATTTTATAGATATTGTTGAAGAAGAATCACATGCAAATTAATAATGCTTGCACGTTTATTTATTTACTTTAAATTTTTTTATTAAAAAAAGTTGCACATTTTGCTTTTAGTTTTTGAACTGCATACTGCATAATGTGAACTGTTTTATATAGAATGTTAAGGAGAATTTAGGACGGATTTTAACGAGATCTAAAAGAGAACTTCTACTGAATCTAAATTTTATTGCATATCTGTATTCAAACTAAACATATACAATCTCTATCTCTAAGAACAATATATGGTATATCAACATACATTGAAAAAAAATTTCGTACAAATTTAGTGCAAATTTAAATATTTACAACAACATACATAGTAAAAACTAATTTCATACAACTAATTATATATTATACAACTTATCTACAACTTTCATACAATATTTCTATCAAGCTAAATACAACTACAATATCATACAATTTAAATATAATTTTTATACAAATTTTATATAATATGTCTTTTGTAAGATGCCAATTCAAATGCGGCTAGAAAGGCTCGTTTGAGTATATTTTGTATCTGATTTGCATATATTTTGTTTGTGGTTTGTGCTTCTTCCTCTCTAAAATTCCAATCAAAACTTACTCTCTTAATACAATTTTGATACATATCAACAACTTTATGTAAAAAGATAGTGTTGATAACTTAAATACAAATTTTATACAACGATTCATACATTATACAACTATTTTTTAATTTTCGTACAATATTCAAATAAAAAAAAATATATATAACTACGATAAAATACAATTTACATACAAGTATACTACAACTTTACTACAATTTCGTAGGTATATTGTATGTCATGTTCGAGTTTCAATTTGAAATTCAGCCAAAATCAAGTCTAATCTTTATCAAAATACCCTCAAAATTAATATATAAACTCCAAACAATGTTCCCAATTGTAGACATGTGATTTTTGACACTCCCCAAGATTTTTATATTTTAGCATGTAAATATTTAATTTAGGCATAATATCGCTATTTAAAACTGATTTTTACTCTTTTACTTTTATTTTATTACAAGAAAACGAAAACTACAAAAAAAATAGGTCCATTAATGTTTTATAGTCATTTTCAACCTTGAAAAAATACAAAAAAATAGTTTTGCTTTAATAGTCAGTCTTTTTTCTTTAATAATTATTTTTACTTAAGTAGGGCTAATTAATACTTTTGATAATTTTTTTAGTTAAGTAAGCTAATTTTAAGCATAGCTAGTCATAAAGGCCCAAGTTTCTAACCCATTCCTTAAGCCCAATACCCAATACCCATCAAGCAAATTCTAGGGACCCTTCTAGACTCTTCTTGGGAACAAAAGATAAATAAAAAAACCTAGGGACCTAATACACAAAAGACCTAGGGACTAATTTATAAAATACACAAAAATACACATTTAGACCTAGACCTATATAACAGGGGTAAGCCTAATCAGCCAAGAGATGGGACGAAAATATATACAAAAATTAACGCCTACAAGGGCTGAAAAATAGAAAAAATAACGCTTGGAAAATCTGAACAGTAGAGGAATAAGCGCCGCAGAACACCACTAGACCCCTTCCGATCGATTCATCTTCAAGCAGCAGCGGACATCACCTTTTGAGGACAAAAATACCCAATTCCCTTGGCTAATCTCCAAGAACGCATCGATCCCTCTTTTGGCCATCTCACTACCTACATAGAACCAGCCCCCTCACCCCTTTTGCCTGAACTTCCGTTGCTATCCATCTCAGGCAACGATAGCCATCGCTCCCTCACCTATCTTCCTCATCGCCATAGACGAGAGAAACACATACAAAACAAAAGAGACCCTCCCAAACACAAAGGACCAGATTGAAACGCTGTTGGTTAACTATAAATGGCTCGGATTTTGGAGTCCAATTTCGGGTCTGAATTTCGCTATTGAGATGGAACCGGTTTAAGTCGATGTTCGGGTTCCTATTTGCGTTTCTGGTGATTTCTTCTGGTTGATACTCGATTTTGTTGTTGAATGCTGCTGCTCTTCGTTTGGACAAAACTGTAAGTCCGAAGTTTTCTTTAATTTGGAAAGAATTTTCGCCATTAAGGTCCGATTCTTCATTTCCCGTTCACTTTGTTCTATGTTCATCTTTATGTTATTTTGGGAATATGATTCAGTGCTTGTTGTCCATATTCTTGGTGTTTCTTTTTAATGTTTTGTTTTAGCAGTTAGTACATGGATCTGTTTTTTGGTTTGAGTAGGTAGGTCCGATTCAGTTATGGGTTCTTTGCTTTGTTGAAAGTTTAATTTTGTATACGTTGGTTTGAGTTCTATTTGAGTCCAAGATACATATTCGTTAATGGAGTGGATTCGAAAGAAAGCTGAAAGAATGCAAAGCCAAGTTATCCTTTTGTTTGTTTGAATGACTATAGGAATAAATGTTTATTTTTTGTTTAGGATGGGATGTGAATCAAAAGTGTTCTATTTTGCTGCTTGGTTTCATGTACTGGTTATTAACATTGAGTTTTAAAACCTTCGCCTTAATGATTGGAAATTCTTTAGTCCTTTAATCAGTCGATTAGGTCCTTTAATTAATTGAGGTGTGCCATATTAAATAACACCAATATTAATGACCCTCATGAGTTAATTTAGAAACTTTTTCTTTAGAATGAATCGAGGTGTGCCGTGCCGAACAAAAATCTCAATTGCATGGCCCTCGTTTAATTAATCTTGTTTGTCCTGAGAAATCGAGGCGTGCCATTTAGCGAATTTTCATGGCCCTCGCAAAGTTGCATATGCGTAGTTGCTTTAGGCGCGTTATTTTAATAACTTACCTTCCTAAACTCGGGTGCGCATTTATGTGACCCAAATCCAAATCTCAACGTTAGATTAAATGTGTTGTGGACTGCGGGTGCATTTATGTGTCGTGGTTCAAGACATATTTTAGATGACGTTGCAATCTTCCTTACAAAATGAATAAAAGCGGCTATAAAGTTAAAATTGCACAATAGGCTAAATCATGTATTAAAATCAGATAATAGGCCAACTATGACAGTTGAGCGACTGTGCTAGAACCACGGAACTCGGGAATGCCTAACACCTTCTCCCGGGTTAACAGAATTCCTTACCCGGATTTCTGTGTTCGCGGACTGTGAAACGGAGTCAATCTTTTCCTTGATTCGGGATTTGAACCGGTGACTTGGGACACCATAAAAATTATCCCAAGTGGCGACTCTGAATTTTTTAATAAAAGGATCCCGTTTCGATTGTCAGTTTAAGTTGGAAAAAACTCCATTATACCCCTTTACGGGGGTGTAGGTAAAAAGGAGGTGTGACAGCTCTGGCGACTCTGCTGGGGAACGAACCCAGAATCTCTGGTTCAGGGTTCAGAATTCGAGCTTAGATGAATTGTTATATTTGGCTTTATTTATTATTTGATTTTATTACATGTTTGGGCCTAATGTGCTAAATGTTGCTTTTTACCGCTTTGACATTATCTGAACTGTATATATAAACCGC